TGGTTTAGTGGTGGACTTGGCAGTGATAGGTTAATGGTTGGACTCAATGATCTTAAGGGTCTTTTCCAACCTTAATGGTTCTATGATTCTATATTTACCTATTGTTGTGACATTTATTTTGAAGGGTGGTTTAGAGTTCCTGATCTGTATTGTAGTGTAACTGTAGAGAATTTATTTTTTCTTAAGCAAAACAGCATGATTCAGACAATATCTTCAAAGGTTTTGTAATGCATAAAATATTTAAAAAAAAAAATCTACTTAGTTTCAGAAAATTACTTTCAGAGTGCAGCAGTTCACTAGATAACGTGTAAAATCAATAAATAATCCTTGGGAAGTGAAGGAATGCAAGAGGAAGGAGAAATTTGAATTGGGGTACTGGATCCCATACAAATCACTGATTACAGCACCAGTGTCATTGGATTAGGACATTTGGACTGAAGCAGAGGAACTGCAGATGGGAAAAAGAGGAGGGGAAGGGCACCATGACAAGAGCTGGAAGGCAGTTGCAGACAAATGTCTCACCAAAAGGGGAAGATAAGATAATATTGTTTCTGAGTGTTAGAAATCTCTAAAAGGAAAATGTTGTGGTAGCTTCTCAGATCAGGCAAGAGGCAACACCAGAGCCCTGTACTGCATCCTACTGACTCATTCCCAGCAGCCATTCTTGTCTTGTCATTGATGAAGTTAAAGAATGGGCTGTTGTTCAAAGCAAAAGCCCTTCTCTGAAGGTGTAATAGAGGGGAAGCGGGAAAAGTGTTTTCAACAGAAAACATACAAGTACTTTTGTTGCTCTTTTTCCCTGTTATATTTCCAAAAAAATGGCTGAGCGTGGGAATTGTTGCTTTCTGTGGATTGACCTAGTCAGTTGGCTATGTATGTGAGCTATGAATATGTATTGATCTCATCCTGTTTATATATTGTTCTATACAAGATACCTAAACCGCTAGGTATTTTGCAAAGCAGTGGGAAGGAAAATGTCTACAGAAACTCAGTGGATTACACAGAGATCCAAGCATACAGGAGTGTGGTTGACCCCCATCTACTTTTAGGCTGTACGACAGTTGTTTTGCTTTTTGCTATTTTTGGTGTGCTAAAGCAACCCTCAGGGATCGTGCAAACTTAGGTCCTTGGGATTAAAGAAAACCTACAGTGGCTAAAGGAGGAAGAAAGAGTTTACAAAGCAAAAAGCAAACCTTCACACACAGCCTCCCCCCCCCGCCTTTTTTTTTAGTGCATTAGTATGACTCATTCTTACTTTTATTTTTAGTTTAAGATTATTAGTTTGCTATTTTGGAGGGTTTTTATTGTTTAAACTAGTAGCAAGTAGAAATACCGGGTGAAACAGGGACTTGTAGTAGTGATTATACAAGTATAGCATATGTTGCTTTCAAAGACTTTGCAGTCTAAATTGACAGGACTGATCAACACGTGGTGTGGAAGGAAGAGCAGCAAGCAAGGATAATAGGTAGAAAAATGGTGCAACCTCTTCACATACATTCTGAGGTCTATAGATGCTTTGGGGATGAATTTTCCATGCTTTACTACTTGATAAATCTCTTTATAGGAGTAGAGAAAGATGAGACTACAAAAAACTGTGCAAAATTTGGGAGACTATTTTAGCTTCCTTGTGTTGTTTGTTTTCCTTTGTTTTAAAGTCTTAGCTCCTGGTGTCTGTGCTTATGTGAGACTCTCTGCTCATATTCATGGTGATGAAGAGAATTGGCAGAAACAGAAACTTGACTTTTCTTTCTAATGGGAAAAAAAGTATTTTTAAAACTAGCTTCCTGCTGGTTTCGACCTGATTGCTGATCTCTGTAGATTTTTATTTGGAGCTGCATGTTCATGAAGGGATTAGTTAACAGGCAAAGTGGTGGCCTCTTGCAATCCAAACCTCAGACATGCTTGTAAATGACAGTGAGACATACCCTGTGGAAGTGATGTGAACAGGATCAACAGGCTGCATTTAAAAGCGATGCTGGGTGGGTAGGACTGAATCATAATAATTGAGTAGATAGTCTGTAAAAATAGCATACCCAAGGATCCATTACTTAAGGGAGATTGTGTTGAAGCATCTGGTTGCGTTGGAAATCTCTTTCTTATTTCTTGCACTATCACACATTGTAAATCAGTGTGCTTTTTCTTGTGAGGAATCCCCTTGGAGCTGCTGCCCATGAACAGTGCACACCGTCGGTGCTCAGATCACACTGGGCGATGGAGTAGAGGGAGCTGCTGCAGATGCCCGGGCTGCTTTGGGATGTGCTGCCTCTTGCCTCCGTCACTGGAGGAAGGTTGAGTTGCACTGTGTGAAAGAGAAATGGAAAGACTGTGTCACGTCATCAGATTTTCCCTTTCTTAAAACATGGCAATAGGATGAAATTTGCTCTTCCTATTCATGTGTGGTTTGTTCAGAAGAAGGGTGACTCAACCTTCTTTCCATGGTCCTTCCACCCACACAGGCCTTGTCAGAGGATGTGCATTCCTGGGATGACAGGAGTGGGGCTTGGCGACCCTCTCACCTGGTTTGGGAGATAGCACAGATTGCTAAATACAGCCCTGCCGTTGCAGCAGAGCATGAGCACAGCTGCTCTGTAACTGGTATCAAATGAATTGTTGGGGTTTTTTATTTTCCGTGAAACAACGCTTTTTTTGGCATGTTTATAAGCATGTTGCAAATGACATCAAAATGTATTTAGGAGTTAAATGTCTCCTGAGAAAAAAACAGAGGGAAACCTTTTCTTTAAAAAAGAAAAGAAATTAAAAAAAAATCCAACACGATTAATCCCAATGTGTGGCTTTAGCTCCGGGCGAGGGTTTTTCCTCCCTTCTCTTCCCCCCCACCAAGAAAACACTGAATTCTTTCACAACAGCAACAAATGAAGTGTCCTGGAGGAGAGAGGAGACTGACAGGGAATTGAGTGCAGACGAGCCACACAAATGCCTAATTTAAGCTTAGAAACAGCAACAGTATAAGGGAAATCTTTAAATACAGGAGCCATAAGGACAGTTGCATTCTGCTACGGATTGTTCTTCTCATGTAAGGAGTATCCATGAAACCCAGTGTGGTGGTAGTTCATCAAATCATACCAACAGCCTTCAGCATTGGAAGCATTGGCATTGGGATTTAAACTCTCACAGGGAAGTTGGAGCCCATCCTTTCCATAGCTTTTTGGTAACTAAAGAAGTTTGGACTGTTTCTAATATTCCCGTGGTTCAATAATAGTGGTTACTTTGAGGCTGACATGCTTATTTATTATATGTGAATTCTAATGCTTTATAATTGGTAGCAAAAATATCTAGATTTTTTTTTTTTTTCTGTAAAACCATAGCAACTGTTACGCTTAGAAAAAGAAAGCTTTTATATTGCTTTATTTTTGCTTGTATCCTGCCTACCTCAGAGAAGTTACTAAGTAGAAGCACTCATCTTAAAATATAAATGTTGTCTTAAGCTTACTCCATTATTCAAGCAATGTTTAGTGTAACCCTGTCATTTTCTTATAGTGATCCAGCTGCCAAAGCTCTCTGGGAGTCCTTCATGAACCTCAAACAAAAGGAAGCTGTGATGGAGGCCAGGAGACACCTTGTGGAGGCTGCGAGCAGAGAAAATTTACCTATTAAGATGAGCATGGGTGAGTAGTGTGACATGCCCTTCCCTACATAGTGGTAATGTGAAAGATGATGTCAGCTCCTTTTTTTCCACTTAACCCTCTTGAGGAAAACTCATCCCCATCCTTGGCCCATCCCCATCCTTGTCAATGACTTTCAGCTGAGCATCGTGGCTACCATAGGATCTTTCTGGTATATAAGTGAGAGGCAAGTGTTTTCTTTTAACTATAACCTTAACAAGATTGAGAGCAGCGGTGAAGCAATGGAGTTCTATGAAGGAGGGTTTTGAAGGCATGCAAATGCTTAGCAATGCTGCTTGTCTTTATTCCGCAAAGCATGAGAATTTGGGTATCCTTAAAAAGTCAGCAGGATTTCTGTCCTGGAAGCAGGAATTGCAAATAGCAGCTGATCTGTTGGAAGTTGTGCAGGTCTTGGATATGATTACGTTATACAGGTAGTGATTACATTACATAGGTAGTGAGGATTATGTGAAGTAAGGCTGCCTGGCTCAATAGAGTTTAAGCTGAAAACCACGTCTAGGCACTCTTGAAACCTGAATTCTTCAAAATATTAGAGATATAGAATATAACATAATGACTTTCAGGAGCTTTTTTAGAACCTCATTCTCACTATATACCATATTCAGTGAAATGCAAGAATTGGTATTATATTAGGCTTATAAAAACAATAATATTGCTCAATACCACAATAATTTTTTTTGCATTTTATGTACTCTAAGAGTATTTTATGCTGAACTTTTCATCAAGAGAGAAAGGTCCTCACAGAATAAGAGTAACAGGCTTTTATCTGGGACTCCAGAGTAAGCTGCCAAGATATTGTAGAAGAATTAGATGTACAGCCAACTCATGAACTTTTAACAACTATAACATTTCATATATATGTGTATGTATGGTCTTTACAAATACCTAGAGCATACATTCAGTAGATTATTAATCAGAAATACTACATCTGTGCAACAATAATGCTGTAAGATGTTTTAAAGACATGGGAAAGGAGCAGCTATGCGGAGGCTATTACAAATTTGAGCAAAGCAAGGCACAGTGAATGATAAAATCTTGTTTAAGCTTTTGTTGATAATGTGTGTCTGAGTATTCACCATAATAATATTAAGAAGCCCCACTGTTTTTCTATTTCATGTGCCTTAAAGAAAATTATTAATGTTGAAATTCAACTTTGTTTTAAAAGTAATTACTTCTTGTCTTTGAGAGGTACCAATCCATCTACCACCTTTGCTGCTTTCTGTGAATGATTAGATCAGACACCTTTTCCTCTGTGTCCCCCTCCCATGGGGAGTGAAGGCTGCAATAACCTTGGGTTTAATCATATTAGCTGACACTTATTGATGGCAGCCTAAATGTCTGACATACGTGGACCCAATATAGTGCTATGTAGGAACATTTAAAAGTTGATGGTGAAACAAATTTCTGGCACTGTCATTCTTGAGACTTGTTTTTGTTTGGAAGATGCAGTATAGGTTGCAGTGTAGCTATAATCTTCGTAGGAGTTTGTTATTTGTTTTCTGAATTGTGTATCTTGTACTAGAATCATAATCAGTTTTTAACTTTATAGTTAACTTTGTAGTTGAACTTCAAAGGGCAAAACAAAATTTGAGGCATTCGTGTAAATGATAAACAGGGATAAAATGAGAAACAAGGAAAGGAGGGCACTACAGTCACCAAAATCAAAACTTTTCATTGAGTGTAAATGCAGAAAACCTGAAACTCACGCCCAGATATCACATTGTCCAACAACACATATTTATTAATGACATTTTAGAACAGATCTGCATCTTTACAGTGTTTGTCAGCCATTGTGCTACAGAACATCTTACCACTCTGTAGGGAAGCTGGAAATTGTGTTGTTTATCAATTGCTGCTTTTGCTGAGAAGGAAAAATTCTAGTGGCCTGTTCAGATCCTGATTGCTGTGTTTAGTCAAAAGGATCCTTGCTTCCACTGCGGCTGTGATACGGGGCAACACTGGAGAGAAAGGAAATGCTTTCACTCTTTCTGTTCTGTGCTTATAAGTGAGTTTTTACTATTTTACCTCAGGTTCTGCCTGTATCGGAAGATCTGGGTGGATTGCACACTGATTTTTCCCACACTTAGGGTATTTTGTGAGTTTTTTATGGCCCTAATATTAAATGTCAGAGAGTTTTTTTTCTAGCATGAAAGTTGCCTCTTACTTTCTTTACTAAGACCAGCTGTGTCAGATGGTAAGAGTATTTTCCTTACTACTATTTTTTTTTTGCTTTTTTTCCCCCTGGAAATAAGGAGTGAATTACATTTGAAAGCAAAGCTTTGAATTCCATTTGGTGTAGCCGAGCCCTCCTGCAGTGGCCACCTGCCTGAAAAACTGCATCATGTGTGACACTGGCAGCACGGGAGCCCTGTGCAGTGATGAGAAACTTGATCCCATCCTGTTTCTGTATTTTCAATGCAAGGAAAATAAATTTTGTTGTTTTCTGGACTTTGAAAGGCTTCTCATTACTCGGAGGTGTGTGTGTGCTTGCCCACGTTTCCTGTGCAGCTAGTGTGCCCGACGCCTGGCTTTCCAGCCACACACACAGCTCAAGGTTTTGCTTTCTGATATTTTTTGAATGTCTCCTCCTCCTCCTGAGAGAAGAGGACAGATGTCTTCTCCCCAACGCCTCCAAATATCTGCAGGCCACTAGGAACTCTATCTTATCCCATTTAAATCAGCAGGGGTGGAGAGCAGAGAGGAGTGCTGAGGAAGGAGAAGAAAGAGAAATAAAGGAAATCAACAATTTTAGCCAGATTTGTTGAGCTGAGTAGATTGGAACGCTGCTTTCAGGTGCTCTTGATTTGCATATTCATTTTATTAGTCGTATCAAGGAAAGTGGTAGTGGGGATGTCTAGAAGTCCTATTGACTGTTTCAGAGGGCTTCAGTGTAGAAAGAAGGTGGCTGAAGGTAGGATGAGCAGAGCTGGCAACATTTTGTTGAAAGTTTTGGTGGATTGACTCTTGGAGCAAGCCCAGTTTCAAATTTAAGACCAGGTCCATGACATTTGTGAATAGAGCAGGATTCTCTTCTTTTTCTGTAGCCATCTCATACTCAGGTTTTCAGGTGGGCCATTAAATGATCTCATATCATCTTCCTTGAAGATTTGCATTTTTTTGCTTTTTTTCTTCCATGTATGTCTGAGGACAGTGCATATTTTATCTGTCTTTCACTTTGTGAGTGAAAGAACTACGTTCCTGTTACAAACTTCAGCAAGTGATGCTATTCTTTTTTGAAGAAGAATTGCAAGTCTTGGGAAACCGCATCACGGAGGGAGACAAAGTGCCAAGTCCATAAAACCAACTAGAACACAAAACTGTGGAGCTACTTTGCCTTTTGCTTACAGAACAAAACCTGAGCTGTATAGCTATGCAGCATATTTGATTTTCTGAGGTCAGCCCTGGAGAAGGCAGGCAAAGCACTGTGCAGAACTCCAGCCAGCGTAAAGGCTTTGCGTGTGGTACATCCGGTTTACTTATGGTTTAATCCGTTCTATCCATAAGTATATAACATGGGTATATGGGTTTTGAAGATGTAATTTCCTGTGGAGTTTAGTAATGCTGCCAGTATTGACTTTTGGGGAGTATTTGTTTAGTATTGCTTACTGCGGGCATGCTGACATTGAGACCCTTCCTTACAGGATGCTATAAACACACTGAAACCGTGTTACTATCATAGTAGTTACATCTAAGTTTTGCCTTAACCCTTTCAGCTAGGTACATTTCCCAAAACAGTATGTGTTTGCATGTAAACAGGTGGAGGTGTCTTTTGCTAGAAGTCCATTTTAAATAAAGAGGCATTAAAATATATTCCATACACACACACACACACACACACACACACACACTTGAAACAAAAAAAAAAACAACACTTTTTAAGAACTCCATCAGCTCCATTTTGCCTCTGAGGCAGCTGCATTTGTGTTTTGGATACCCCTGTGAATGCTGATAAATATATGGGGAAGAAAAATATTTGCCAAATTCTGGTCAGATATCCCATTGTGTAGGTGTAACTTATTTTGGCATAATAAAAATTCTGGCATTTCAAGAAATTTCTTTTATTCAAAGAATTAAGTCTCCTTTTGAAAAGCTCTTTGGAAGACATTTTAGAAGATTGTTGGAATAGCTTTTTGGTGAGATTTATAGCATTGTGCTAAATTCAAGTGAGATTGTAAATACTGGAAAGGGATTACTTCTGCTTAGCTCTTAAAGGAAGTGACTGTAAGGAGTTCTGCTCTGGGGCAGCAGCCTGACTTACAGTACAGCGGAAAGGTTGCTGGTTTTTCCATTCCTCTACTTCCCGTTCCCTTCTTCATAGGTCTGATGCGTATCTTAATCATCTTCCGAATGTGGCAGCCCATGAATCTCTTGCTGAAAGCTTTGCTATTAGCATAGTATTTGGCAGTGGTAAAAACTTTGCTACAAATGTTCTTTTGTGGCTTTAGAAACACCCCAGCTCTTCTGTTTGAAAAGAGCACAGTAAACCTTGATCGAGTCTGAATTCCTTTATTGTGTCTTTTTACTGGCATGGAGACTGATGAAAGTCAAAACACTGGTATAGTAACAGAAACAAAGTGCAGTGTGCTATTACACAAGCCCTTGTCAGCAGAAGAAAAGCCTTTTGGTTTCTTTCCATCTGAACTGTACAAATACAGTTTTAAAAATCAAGCTTACTACAAAATTAGGAGAGCCTCAGGCTTTGTGAAGTAAAGAGGAGTACTGTAACTTTTTCAGATGGGCTGGTTTGCATGGGTTGAATTGAACTCTAAAATTCGTTTGGGTAAAAATGGGAAGATCCTGAAATTTTAGCCTGAAGATATGAAATAACATTTTGAGTTAGAGAAGTACCTTAAAATGGACAGGAAAACATAGGTGAATACCTTATCTAAAACCATAAAGAAAATAAAGAATATAAAATATGCTTTTTTTTTAAATGAAAAGTTGCATTGGACCATAACGGTGTTTAACATGCTATTTATTCT